TTCTAAGTAACATCAGAAAATAGTTTAATTTTTAACTGAACTGGATTTTAAGTCATTGTTTTTGTTCTTTATATTTGCTTTATGTGCTTTATATTTTACACATTAGGAAATTCTGACATGTGATGCCCTTTGGACAGTTCACTTATGGTTTTGCACAACTAAATTACTAGTTTAATCTTTTTAACTGTATTAGGGAGGGTCAATCTAATTTTAATTTGTGAACCATATTGTTGAAAAATATCTACCATAGGACGTGTCTGGGTAGAATTTTTTTTTTTAAACTTTTAGTTTCTTCTACAGAGTAACATATTTTGTAATTCAACAGAACATATGTAAAAGTCTGTAAGCAACTTTAACAATCTTTTGTGTGCATATATATGTTGAACTTTTCTAGGATGTACTCTGCTTTTTCCTTACATACTTGCTACAGTGATGTTGATGATGTTTTGTACACTGCTTTTTCTTACTTACTAGTTCATAGTTTTATATAATCAAACGTTATATCTGTGGCAAAAAAATAAAACAGTATTTCAGAAAGATAACATTCAACAAAAGCCTCTTTTACTTTACACCTTAAAGCTGGGATGATGTGTATTTTCTTAATGTCCTGTGTTGGAAAATTATTTATAGTGGATTTTCTGATTTAACACAAACATATTTAACATAGATAAGAGGACTTTGCTAAAATATTGACAAATGTTCAAGATGAATGAGAAAATTTTGATAACAGTTAAGAAAGCATGATTATTATTTTTTTTCAAAGTTTGCTTGTCATTCGTCAGTGAGTAGTATATTATATTGTCTTTTTTAGCATTATTGGACAGCCTGTTTAAGGCCTCAAGCATCTTAACTGGGTTTTAGAGCCAAGTTTAACCATGCGAATCCAAAACCTTCATTTTGGTTCTGTTAGTCATTTACAGGTGGACTTGCTTAAAACGGTTGAATCACTTTACTGCAACATAACCCATTAGCATGTCCTAAACATCCCAATCTGATGGCTGAGCATTGTAACTCAGGATTTTCTGCTACAATACACAATCACAGCAGTCCTTTATACTGCTGCCTCCATGTTTCACTGCTAATAATGCCAAACCATATTGTCCCATACACTGAAATACACGAAAATATTGTATAAACAAAGACAATAATAACTGCACCGTGGAAAAATCCCACTTTCCTTTTCTTGTATTATACACGGCTTGGATCTTCCTTTTCAAAATGAGACTTACTGTTGTTGTGGTAACAAAAAACGGGGGGTACTGATTATTTTTCTTCCAAATACCTCTATTTATATATAGAACAGTGTTGTACCATGCTGATTCATAATATCCCTCTTAAAAAGAAAAGTTGATTGATTCCTTTGGAGCTCATTTCCATCTTTATCTTTAAAAATGTGTTCACAAGCTGTATTCTTAGATATCAATGTTTCTATACTGGACCAGGATAAAAGCTGTTACTGAGCAGGTACTAGGTTTTTTCAAGTTTTTTCTTTTATCATCCAAGTAGGCTACATGTCTCAGGGGATCTTCTAGTTGCCATGGAAAGGTAATCAAATCCTCTCCACTGGAGGTCATGCAGCAGGATAGAGTTTTAGGAGAACAACTTTCTCAGAAATAAGGAAACCAGTGGAAAAGCCCCAAAATTGAAAATGGCACAGAATTTCCTTTTAAAGATCTGACACATTCAGTAATCAGCAATTGTAAACATTCAGAGCCACCAAGATGCAAAAAAACAACAAAAAAGCAGCTTTCACTCATTACACACATACACCTCCAAACTCTTGCGGTGACATTTGAAGGACAGCGGCCTACAGGGAGAACTGCTTTCGAGAGGTTAGGTAAGCTGGCTGGCTGTGCTGGCTGGCCGGCCGGTGGAGGGTGTGATGTAAACAACACCTCAGAGTTCAGTGTGCATGCCTAATGTGCTTTCTCGCATTGACGGCTCCGCTGGGCACTCTTGCTGATGACAAGCTGTCTGCAGAAGTTCCCTCTTCTCCAGCATCTCACCGCTGTTTGTTAACTTCACTCGGCTGTCCGTGTCATCTCTGGGCACTTTCCTGGTCTTTCGTCTCCATCCTGTCTTCAGCTTTCTGTTCCTTTCTTTAAACCGTTCTGACGAGGCTGCTGTCAGGACAAATTCTCTTTCAATGTAAATATCTATGAAGATGAAGACTAGACATAGAGCATCACATAGAAAAACAATCTTTTTATATTTTTATAGTCATGTGCTGAAAGAAAACAATTGTTTTTGACTCAGACTGATTTTTTTTCTGGTTTCATAGCAGCGGTCAAAAACACTGGGGCATTTTTTTTTTCAACCTTTGTACATTTTCTGATAAGATGCATACTAATTATAGTTCCATGATCATTGGCAGCAATGCATACATGCAGCTCAAAATACATAGATATGTACAACTGTGAATTCTACACTTTGAAAGTGTGCTTAGACAGAAGGTAAAGCAGTTTGGTCCTGGGTTGAGTATGTCTTAAAGAGAAGGGAAATCTTTGAAGGGCATGATTAATAAAAACAAAAGGCATTACTAGGTGGGTATATATAAAAATAGTGTTTTTTTTGCGCTGTGGTTAAATGTTGCCATTTTAAGTTTCTTTATCTATCATATCCAATCACTTCTCTTTGCCAAAAGAATATATTGTTAATCCTGCCTCTTCTGATAGAGATAGTTTAAGAGAACCTACAACATAAAGAACCTTCTATATCAAACATCATCTTTTCCTAATCTTAAATACAGTTGATCTTATAAACATAAGATAAATGAGACCTTGACTTAAAAGTGATACTCATTACTGTTTTGGAGTTATTCAATACTCTGTGTTCTTAATATTTAACCTGTATGTTAACAATCCAGTAGGATGGAAATAACTGTTCTGTTGCTAACTGCAATTAACGATACAAGAAAATAACAGCATACTTTTATTATTTTTTTTCTGCAGATACTTTAATTTAAGGAGGATATTCTTTAGTAAGGATTGTAAAGTCATGTTTATATCTGGTTTATTATGACATAGATGATTAGATGTGAAAATAAAACATTTAATCTTGTAATTTTCATCATATTTTGCATGCTGCAGCCATATTGTATAGGTAACTAATATGTTCTGGTACTTCTGGAAATCAATGCACTGTCAACCTTCTCAGTCTATTTATTTATTTAACAGATTTGAAACTTTAAAAATGTGACTAATGTGTATAAGTGGAATGCATGCATGCCCTTATCCACATTGGATACATGCATTTTACAAGACACGTTATATTAGCTATGTTGGAACCAAGCTAAAGCATTTGCATAAGAGTTCTGGTGAGAAAACTTAGAGGCTTAAAGAGCCTCCTTAAAGTAGAGGCTGTTGCATAGTTATGTATGGACAAATGCACATTTTGATAAAAATAATTTTCACAAAGTATTTCATGCCACTCCTAATTCTATGATCTACTTTGACTGTTTTGTTTATATATATACAGAGCCTCCACCAAATCCTTATGCCATCAAAATTAAATAGTTTCCTACAACAGGTTTATTACTGCAATCAAATGTTAAATACGGTCAAATTGCAGTACTGTGGTGTACCTTATATTCATATGTTGTTGAAGTCTGGTGGATCCAAAAAAGGTTTGGTTCCTTATAATTTCAGACAACTTTGACGCTGTTGAAAAGGAAATGCATCTCTGTCCATCTACTTTAGGTTTTGAATACATTGTTTGGGTGTCAATAATTTTACAAATGGAATCTAAACAAATTAATACAAATAATGTTTTTTTGAGAATCAGTTTATGAAGGACATGCTTGGGCACAATAATGCACCTACTGAAAATGGCTGTAGTAAGAAAAACACTGAGATTAGATTCAAATTTCAAAGTCTCACATAGTTGCATAGTTGTCATATTTTCAAACTGTAGTTCAACAATACTACAGAACATTTAATTTGAGTTAGTTAAGGCTTATTCCCAGTGCAGTAACTTAGCTGAAGCCATAATAGGTAATATGACCAAGAAGGTCATTATCGAATACACTGTACAGGCCTTTCTCAATAGTGTCCTTTTGTTTGGCAATATAATGCAGCTTTTCATGTTTTTTTTTTTGTTTTTTTTCAATAAACAGTTGCCTTCAAATGAAAAATGATCTCTACGTCAAAGTTTCCAAGAATATTCCTCAAATATTTTTGGGAGGAAGGATTGTTAAATCATCCTCACAAACTACTAGATATTGGATCCTGTTGACAATGTTTTTCATTCTCTCCAGCACTAAAACCATCAGTATTCAATTGATTGAGGCCAAGCCAACAACACTTTAGGCCTCACTATAATTCCTGTGGCCATGTTTTTTTTGGTGCATCCTGCTGGATTCTCCGGTTAAGAGGTTTCCAGCTTCACAATAATTGGTGATATTCACTCTGCAGTGATTAAACACTGCAGTCTTGTTCTGCATCAACTGGTTGTGGTAAGTATCAATCGTAAAAAAAAAAACAAAAAACAAAACAAAAACTAAATGAACTCTGAAAACTCTGCTGTGTATGTTCTATTGTTCTGTGTGGTCAGAGAGCCGAAGTAGTTAAATTACTGAGCACCAAAATAAAAAAAAAAACAGATAACATGATGGCCAGATCTGTCACAGACCGATTTTTTGTCGAATTTGGCATCTTAATTCTTTTAAGTCTTATTACATGATTTCATTGATGACAACACTAAAAATCACTAGGGAAAACACCTCTACTCTTTTATCATAAGTTTATGACCAGAATAGGAGAACTTTCATATGTGGACTGTAGAAGTGCAAAACTTGCACAAAAAACATGCATAATGGTCTGCATTAAGTAGGCCTATTCATTTTTTCTTGTTCTATTAAAGTGTTGTGAAACTTAAAAAAAATAATATATATATATATATATATATATATATATATATATATATATATATATATATATATATATATGTGTCATTTATGCAGCTTTATTGTTTGATTTGTGGGTAATTTAACTAATGGGTAAAGGAATAATTTGATATCACCATCCTTCTAAGAGAAATGTATGTCTTTAGATCTTGGAAGACTACTGTTCTCTATAATCTAAGGAATACCTTTATACCAGTTTGTACAGACTGGGCCTGATGTTGCCTTAAATAATTTATTATCTATTCCTGGAATTAATGTCTTCATATATTTAATTTTGCATTGTATATGTCAGTATTTTTGCCAAATTGAAATGGCAATATTCAAAATTATTAATGGGGAAAAATCCTAAAATTAGTTACTTTTTAAATCAGACTCAGTATGAGCAGTAGCACACATAATGTGTAAAGGCACAATTTTTTTCACACAAAGATTTCACACATTGCAAAAGCTCATGTCTTGTTGTGAAAAGTAAAACAGTACAAACCAATTCAAAATGGGATGAGTCAAACCAGGTGAAATTCTGCTTTGCCTTCTGTCTTAGCACGACTTTGCAGCTATTGTGTAAGATATTACTAGTGGTTTTTACCCCCCGACCTGAGTTCAAAAATGTCATTTGTTCAAGTCGTCCAATTGGAGCCCATCTCTTCTCTGAGTGGTATCTGAGAGGGCAGAGGTGCTTTCTGAATGGGTGTTAGGTTTCCGAAAAATATGAGTGAAAAACGGGCACTGATGAATTCTGTTGTTGAGGAGATAAAAATCACATTGACATCATTTACTCAGAGAACATACATGGAACATTTATTGCTGTGTTGTCAGGCTTAACCTTTGACGCCATATTTATTGACAACGATTCATCTTAAAAAGATATAATAGGACAATATATCTTTGATGCTAAAACAGCCCTTGGTTGCTTTGATTTTCATTTTCATCCTCAGACTACAGGTAACCTCTTCACTGACAAACAGCACACTCCAGTAAAAGGCCTGAAGTTATTTACGCACACACACACGCACAGACACACGTACCTACAGCTGTCTCACCCACTGAAACCAAACTCCTTCTATTAAAACATAGTCATCATAGTGATTTTGCATGATAAATGAGGTAAAATCCTCTTTTTTCTTACATCACCTCCATTTTTTTTTTCTTTCTTGGAAGAAAATCAAAGTAAATTTATCAAAAAAAAAACTGTCTACCCCTAGAAATCAGGCTTCTGGATCTCCGTTTTTGATGTAGTAATTCTCTAAATCCCAGAAACCAAAATAGCTTTCATAAAAAGAGGAAAAACCTTGCTGATTAGTTCAAAAATAAATGGTACAATAAGAAAGGGTTGCTACAAGGAGATGGAAAACATGAGTGCATCAAAATATCATGTCGTAAATTAGCATACTGTTTTGCAAACCCAGAGCCATGCTTAAGGTGCACTAGAGTGCCCAAAACCGATATGTTCTGATGCAACTTTAAAATTAAAGCTTTCATAGTGGTGGTGTCAGAGGGGTTCAGTCATGAGGCTACAAGCAAAGAATAGTGCAGCCATGTCTGTGAGTGAATATGGCGTGTGAATATGGCTGTTCCCATTTCTGGTTGTCCACACACTCCAACTCATGGGAAACCAAAATAAAAACAACCCTCAAATGTCCTTGAGGAGCAAGTATTCACATAAGGAAATGCGCTGAGAACAATCACTCAGCGCACAAGTTTCTTTGAAATTTTTTGCTTGTCATATTATGTAGTGTCCTCACTTAAAAAACTTTTACAAAATTGGAAGCCACTAGCAGACGAAAAGTCTTAGACAAGTCGAAGACACTGCAGGGATTCAATAAGGACAAACTAATGGCAAAATGCAAACGTGCCTATTCTCCTGTCTACAAAAATAGTGGAATAGGAATCACATGGTTATCACCAAACATTGAAATCTTAATACACATCTGTATATAGATAAAAAAAAATCCAGGTTAAATGCAATCCCATCATGCAGCCGAGGTTCTTTGCAACAGCGTCCTTTCGTTTAGAATCCTTGAAGATAGTGAGAAAGAGTGCAGTCAGAAGGAGTGCACATTGAGCTGTATTTCAGTGCACAAATGTTGCTCCGTGCACAATTATGTGCTCCCTGACAGGATTCCGAGTTCGTTTCACTCCACCTCTCTTTCACACTTATTTTTCCATGTTTATGATTGAGAGATCCTGGAGATAGAATGAAAGATAACCAATTTCACGAATCACTCCATGCAGTTATACCTCCACTGTCCCTCAATTTATTTCCATTTTCCGCTACCAGTGAAGACCAAGTTGACAGACACACAATGCTGATACCCATATTCTGGTTTCAGAGACACTGAGATGTTGTGCAGAATGAATTAACTCTTGCTTGGATACCTGAGGCAGTGCTTGGACACACAAACATAGACTGGGAGCAAATTATGTCGAACTCTTCTTCCTTCTTCCATTTTAAGCAGGTCTGTCAGGAAAGATGTCTGTTAGATCCACTCCCTGCTTTAAGACCCTCCCTTTGAGTCAACAAGAGACTTAAAAACAGTCATTCATGGCATTGATAGTTGGATTTGTTTTATTTTTTTCCAGTCCAAATCAACTTAAGCCATTAGAGAGAGAACAAAGCTGTTTTAGAGCAATGCTAACTCACTTTTGCATCTAGCTCCTTGCCTCAACTGTGTGTCTTATAAATGCAAGTTGTTGTTTTTCAGTGTGAACACCACTTTCCCTCAGATCCTGTAGAACGAGACCTACCAAGACAGTAGAGGGGCTGCTCCTCTGGCCATGCGCTTTGATCTATAGCCATTTGGCACCATTAGAAACAGCCAAAACCACCACTCTAGATAGTACATACAGTATATAAAGAGGTTAAGGGGGCAAGATGAGGGTTTAGTGTTGAAAGTCTGAGCATCATGTTTCATCAGACCTCTGTCTCCATAATGAAGCAGACTGAGAGGAACAGCAATGGGTTTAGTTCCAAGAAATGGAAAGAAAAAGAACAACTAAACATTATGTTTCATCTGTTCTGTCGACAGGAGCCTACTGTTGTTTGGCTTGAGCTTTTTCCCTTGAAACTGTGCTCTTTGTCTTCTATTACCCCAGTCCCTTCTCCTTTTTTGCTATCACCTAATACTCCTGTCCAGGGGTTGGCCAAAAAAGCTTGGGGTTCCATTAGCTCCAGGCCCATAATTTCCCTGCGGCCTTCCCTGCATCGAGAAGACAACAGAAGACCCCCTTTGTCAAGGCTACCTGTGCTGTTGCACTTCTTTACATGCCCTCCAGGGCATAGGACGTTGCTAGGTGGCAGCAAGGATGTTAGTGACAAGCTGCTTAGCGTCTCTGATAAATGTTCACTGTTGCCTGCTTGGCTGGAGCCACAACCACCAATAGAAGAGCCAATGCCTATACCCAAGTCTTCATCTGAGGGGTCGATGGAGTCTTCTCGATTGTAGCCGGGGCTCGTGCTGCCTCGTCCACTGCTCTGGCTCCTTTGGTGACCCCTGGTGGCCAAAAGGGTTACAGCAGGAGGGTTTGCCCTTGGATTTAGGGCTTGAACTGGAGAGGAAATAGTATCCTCAGGCTGGGAGATAGGGCACATGGGTGGTAAGGAAGCTGTTGGGATTGACAGTTCCATGTTCTGAGGTGGAGAAATGCTAAAGCTTAGTCCTTCTTCCAGAGTTGTCTGAAGGCTACCTTCTGAGCTCCCAGTTGCCAGGGATGAATCACTGTGGGATGGGTACTAAAATAAGACAGAAAGGAGAAGTGGAAAAGAAAAGTAAATTGCACCAGCCAACGATTTTCTTTTCATGAAGTCAAGACTGTTTACAATTATCTCTTTTAGCTACAAAACCATTTAATTACATTAATATTGTGCTATTCTTCCACTTTTATTTAGTTTGTAACCTCTGTCTGCTTACCTGTGCACAGATCCTCTTTCGAGGGGCTCCAGGGGAGCGGAATGAGACCCAAGAGGCTGGAGAGGTCAGTTTCATGCCTCTTGACAAATGCAGGCTCCTACTGCGAGAGGGTACCGGGATAGATGCCCCTGCAGAATGGAAAAACTCAGCAGGCAAATGAAAGAGGGTAGAAATCCCACTGGCTCCCTTTTCCTCATCTCCTTTGCCTCTCTCCTTGCTGCTGAGGCTGGAAATCGCACCTTTGGGAGAAAACCACAAGTATTCATGTCAACTTTTTCCCCCAACATAAATCTCTTATTTTATCTGAGCAAATGATCTGCTAGTGAGTGAGAGAGTCATTCATTCAGTCATGTATTCTGTTCTTTCTGCTGCTCACTTCAAATCATGGTCCCAAATATAATAGAAGTGGACTTATCCAGCTACACCGCACAGGGCTAATTGATCTCCAGTACTGATGTGCTTAAAATTATTCAAATTTTACATCTATTTACTGTAATAACACTAGACAATCATAAATCTTAAAAATGGAAACTAACTGCAAACTGTAAAAGCAGTTTTCCTGACACCAAGATTTTTCCAGGAATAATGCTTTTATTTTTATAGATCATGTAACGCTAAAGAAATCCAACTTTGGTGAACCTTGCACTCAAAGCTGGATTGTCACGAGATCTGAGTTTTCAGTCTCACAACAAATCCTTCTTGAAAGACTCCTGCTAATACGTCCGTCTCATAACCACCAGCGAGTCGAAATAATGACATGCCAGCAGTGTTTTTTGAGGCGGGACATGTAGGAATGACGACAGTCAGAAGCGCCATGCTGGGGCATAACAAACGTTTAAAAAAGGAGCAAAGAGAACCACTTTGTGCATTTGTAGATGGGAAAGATGTCTGTGCTTTTCTTTCGACAGGATTTGGAAAAAGTTTGATTTATCAAGTTACTCTGCTAGTTGTGAAAACACTAAAGCAGCTGCAGACGAATCCTATTGTGATCATTGCTGCTATGGCGAGAAAGCATATGATGGAAGGCGAGTATTAGCTGGCATGTCACCCTATCAGCTCGAAGTATTGCACTAAACGTCGATCCTTTTCATGATCAGACTGAACGGCAGGTTGATAACATAGAACTCCACTGAGTTCTACACATAATAATCTGGCTACCACCAGGATATCATTGGTAATCCTGTTTTTTCATTTCCTTTTAAAAGACCATTTGTATTTAGTAACTTCTTCCAGTCACTAAAATGTTTATATGTGTAGTATTTAGGCTCTGAGGCATGTCAACATTCAACCGCTGTTAGTTAACCTTCCTTTAATCCTCCCTTCATTAGGAAATTGAAAAAAGACCAGTTTTAGTCTTCAGTCTAAAATTATTGTGGAGCTGTATCGTGTTTTTGAACATTAATAAATGCTCATTGTAATGAGACAGTTTTCTCTCAAAAATTTAACTGACCACTTTTTTATAAGATACAGCTCCATAATAATTTTAGGTAATTTTGTAGTTCCATGCTTTAATACAATGGACATGTGCAGTGGCGATATAATCAAAATATTAACTTTAATAATTATTATTTTGATTAATCAAGTTAAAACATGTTCATTATTATCTCCATAAAATAACCTTGTAGAATTTACTGACCAGGGGAGCAGACTGGTGAGCACATCTTTGTTTGGTATGTTTGTATTCCCATCTCTTGTAGTGTGGTCTCTGTCTCTGTGCAAGAAACCCTGCATTGCAGGGATGCCCCCTGCACCTGACCTTGTTCCTCAGCCTGATGACCTCCTCCATGGCTGCCTTCTCCAACAACAGCCTCCTCAGATTCATGGGAGCCACTGCTGCACCTCCCCTAAAAGAGAAGGGACACAAAACCATAAAAAAATATGTAGGATAATCTATATTATTGTAGAATAATTAAATAAATAAACATATTGCAAAGTACCAATTCTCAAAAGATGCCAAGAGTAAGATTTGTGGAAAAAAAAAGTGACATATAAGTTTCTTTTTAAAAGGATAACCAGGTGTGTTCGACAGCTTTTCCAAAGGGAATAGTCCACCCTCTAATGATTTAGTAATTCCTGGTTAAAGAACAAAATGACAGAAAATAAAAACTGAACAATCAGCTGAATTTGTAAGCGCCATAGGAGCGCTAACACACTATGATGAATGCCTACGCAGGGAGTGGACTTTCTAAAGCTGATAGTGATCCAAAGTTGAGCTGCACCTGTGGCTGTGTGTGGGTATCATTTCTGTCTAAACGTGATGGACCCGCTGCCTGACACATAGTGTAGAGGAAAATTCAGACTCAGATGGTAGAAGGGGATAATTACCTAATACTACTATGGCAAATTTGGAAGAAAAAATAACAATAGGAAATGTATTTTTTATCTAACTAAAAGAGACATTATTTAAGTTTTTAGTGAAAAATATCTTTACAATAGCCATTTTATCAAACAGTTTAAAACATAATTTGATGAGCAGACATTTCTATAGTTTAGCACAGATGCATCTATAAGTCTGTAGCCTATTTTCTTGCATTTACTTAGGGTCGAAGCATTATTTTCAAGATGGACTTTCTGGATACTCAGAAGCAACGAACATGCAGCTTAATTCAGACAAATGACAAATCCGTGAAAAGTGAAAAAAAAAACAAAAAAAAACAAAACAAGAAGTAGCGAGCTAAGAGAACAAGCAAAAGAGTGCTGCAGTTTTGTGTTTTCGCCACAGGGTGCATTATCATTAAAAAAGTCTGTGGTTCCTCTTTAAACACCAAGCCTGTACGTACGTTTTTTTTTACTAAGTTTTATGTTGTAAAAAAAAACAATCCTTGGCCCTCTGCCCAGAACAAGTCATTTGGTGAGCGTGGCTGTAGGCAGGAAGCGGTCTGTCTCAGCCGCTTTGGATGTTATCATCCCAATAAATGGCTGTTATTAGCAGTTACTAGACCCATAGAATAGCTTCAGATTACACCTCTTACTTACCAGTAGGCTCAGTAGATTGTTATCACAGAATTAATCCTAACCCTAAAGTATTTTTTTTACCTGCAGAAATAATTAATGTACTCATGTGTAATCTGAACATAATTTTAGTAGTTCTTCATCTATTGTAAAAAAAAAAAAAAAAAAAAAAAAAGTTGATCAACATGTCAGCCTTATTGAACAATCACTCATTAAAATGAAATCTCATATCCTGTATATGGTTGTTTTTAAATACCCCATTAAATCCATTTGACTGAAATGTGGAATTCCCTAGAAGTAAAAGCGCACTTTTTTTTTTTTTTTAAAGAAGATAGACGTTAAATAAAATTCATAAAAAGTACTAAATAGGTAAGTAGAAACTAAAACTTAAAGGTATAGAGGATGATCTTTTATTTTCAAGTGGATCATCTAAATAAATGGTCCTCCTAATTGTTAATCATTCTGGTGATAAGTTTATGTAAGGCCGTCCTATGTGCTTGTCCCGTTAGCTATCTTTTTCTGCACAGACAGTCATTGAAGCTCGCCTTTCTCACTGCGGTTCTTTGAAAATGGCCAAGGGTCGTCAGAGAAAAAGTGTCTATAAAATGTATGAAGAGAAAAGAAAGGCCTCAGAAGAGGCAAATAAATCCCGAAATGCTTTGCGTGGAGAGCTCTCTTCGCAAAGCATTATGGGATTTGCAGTCATAGCGGCCAGCTGTCACCATAGGCTGTGGCTACCCCAGAGTGGCGACTGATAACAAAGATGGTGCAGGCACCACACAGTGGAGGAGGAGTTACCTGACTAACAGGGAACAAAAGCAGTGAGTGGACCTACTTAGAGTTGATTGAACTAATTCATAGCAGTCATTGTAAAACCGAAAACTCAGAGTTCCCGACTTTAGGCGCAATCAATTTAGAGTTGAGGATTTGAACTATGTTTGTTAAACCTGCATATTGAAATGGACCTCAGCTCATTAAAGAAGCTAAAAGAAGTCATGTTAACAAAATATTTCATCATAAGTTCATGGTAAACTGTCTTACAGGCCAAGCCTCAACTAAAATAAAGTGTGTGACAATTATGTGTGCCTGCCTGCCTTCTTGCCTGTCTATCTTTTTTTTTTTGTTATTCCATTTTGCATCTTTCCTTCTGCATTTAACCCCTTAAAGAGCAGTTTTCAGCACCCAGGTAGCTTTCTGGGCCTAAGAGTCTTGCTTGATGGCTTAGTGTTAGATTCTGTTCTCTAATTAGGTATTTTTCAGCAGCTAGAGTATGATATAAGTACCCTTTAAGAAAAACAACCTTTAAGCACACATTAAGCATAGTTTTTATCAGGCCAATATTTCTTAAAAAAAAAAACAACAAAAAAAAAGCCTGATATACTGTAGGTCATAAGAAATACAAGCTTGATATCAAGTTTCAGAATTACATATGTTTTTCAAATAATACGTCGTGTTGCACAAATTTACATCTGATATATATATATATATATATATATATATATATATATATATATATATATATATATATATATATATATATATAAAATATTATCTTTTAATATTTTGACTATTTTACATTGTTTATTTCATCTTCTCCTTCAGCCCCACTGGTTTAAACTTACCTTCCCTTCATGCATCAGCAGCTGATAGCTGTTATGTTCATCCAGGCTTAGGTCGTCAGGGAGAGCAGGGGATGAGGACTTATCCGAGAGTTGCTCCGACTTCAGTGATGCCTGCTCTATCTCTGCCATTCTGATCTGCTGCAAAGAGTTTATTTTACTTATTGATGCCTTTAAAAGCCCATGAAAGAAAAAAACAAACAGTTACTTATTCCATCATGCTGGAAGAACACAATCTCATCAGTATTTACCATAACTATTCATAGCATGGAATACCTCAATAATGTTTCTTTCATTTAAATGTTTGAAAACATAAAGAGATCTTGCATGATGCATCTGTTTACTCATTTTCCTTTAAATAACCAAAACAAGCTCTGTAGACAAAACAATAAAAGATAAAACCTCCCCCATGCTGAAATAAGGTGCAACAGTTGCTGACAATCCAGAGGCAATAATGCAATAGGATCTGCAAAGAGAGTATGATGAGACATTTCCAGCAGTACTGGTTTATCCTCAGTTGAACAAATGCGTTCAACTTTATTTCAAATCAAAGCATTCAAAAAATATTTGAAAAACAATTTTCTTGAAATTGCATAGCATGCAAATAAGTCAATATGCTTTTTTCCTCAATATTTAAAATGAGTGGAAGCTGAAATCCCAAAAATACTGTTTAGGCTTTTCAGTACTATTTCTTTAACGATGTAAAGCAATAAATACCTAGAGCAAGTGGTTAACCGTGGTATTTAAAGTGGGCCAAGTGAAATTCAGTGGAGCGAGGCTGGTTAGCCATGTAGTAACGCATGCACAAAGCGGCTCATAAAGAGAGATTCATTGCTGATATGAGCCAGTTAATCACCACTGCCACAGCTCCCAGAGAGAGACAGAGATGTAATGAAGCAAAGCAAAGACACAAGGCGCAAGCACAGTGGAGTGACTCATTAGCTGAGAGAACCACTTTACAGTTTTTCCGTTTTGATTGACCCAGTAGCCCTCACTTGTACGGCTCTTTGGCAGCACTGTAGCTGGGACTTGTGTCTCCATAGGTGGTCAATAAATGGCCTCAACAACCCTCTGCAACTCATCTGCATTTTTTATCGACGCACCACGGAAACTACAGTGTCTCTCTTCTTGTTTTCTTCACTGTGCCTTTGGGGAGAACATTGAAGCAAAATAAAAAGAGGAAAACTTTGCTACTGCAGAAATACTGCTTGTTTGTTGTAAAAAGATTGGAAGCTACAAAGTCACTACTTCAGTATAAGAAGAGAAAGGCACTGTTCTATTCAACAAAAGGGGACTGTAATAAAAAAACCACAAAAACAAACAAATCTGTCCTGACCAAAGAACATGAGTCATGCTAGCCAACACATGCTGTTTGCTGTATCATATATCCTTAAACCCTGCAGGAGAAATAGTCAGAGGGTAATTTCCTACAACACACATTAAGATTAACAACATGATTTGTAGGAAATGCACTGCTATGATTACAAATGAAGTAATATAGAGGGAAGCTGGTCTAAACAAAGCATAAGGTCAATATATGCAGCTAAATTAATGGTAAAGGTTGAACTGTCACTTTCCAGGTCGTCTCAAGGGCTTGTTTCAGAGTAACATGATGAATTATACTCTTCCCACACACTAAGTCGTCCAGATTTTAGATTTTCTTTTGTAGATTTCAACATAACATTCAAGTGGAGACTCAACAATCTAAGAGCAAAGCATAAAGATTGATTTCACAATAAAATCAAAGACACTAAATTTCTCCCTGCAGCCCTTTAGGTAATACACTTAAACTGGGTTTGCTGCCACACAGAAAGCTCAAGTTAAGTAAGTGCTAAGTTAGCACTTTTTCCACACAAAGGTTACAGTAAAGTCATACAACAATGGACTGTGGACTAGCAAGCTTTCAAGGTCATGACAAACTAAAACCGTAAATTAAGACATCTACAAGCTTGTGGTTAGTGCAAAGGTAACTTGAAATAAAATTGCAATACTAGGGAAAACTGATCGCAATTTTGATTTATTGCAAAATTATTCGGCAAAGTCCTCCGCTACTTTCTCCTTGACCTGTCAGCAGTGTTCCTTGGTCTTCATGATGCCTCTTGATCATTAACGTTTTCACATAATCCTCTGAGGCTTTTACAAAACAGCTGCATTTATACTGAGATTAAATCACACAGTTGAACATTTTACAAAATAGTGACCTTTTCAAGAATTTTTGTTTGCACTGTATCCTAGCTGAGTCAGAGATAGAGGGGAATCACTGCAAATGTGGCTTTTACCTCTAATTTTTTTCCACATAACACACAATCTTGATTAAAATATATTAATGCTTGTTGAAATGTGACCAAATGTAACAATAAAAAAAAAATCAAGGGATATGAGAACTAGCGAAAGGAACAGTATGCAAGTCTAGTGTTAAAAAAAAAAAAAAAAAAAAAACTGAAGCAGAGTTGCTCTGAATCAGATATAGTAAATAAGAGACCAAACAGGGATAAGAAAAGGAGTGGGTACGCATACAGACGGGAGGAAGCATGTAAAAAGGAGGGAAGATTGATGCTCTGACAGCAGCTGCAGACAGGCAGAAAGCGAGGCTGACAGGTGAGGAGGTGTAGATCCCAGTTACTTCCTCCTCTGAGCTGACCCACAGCCCTTTGTCACTATGATGGACAACATTTGCACAGGACAGTATGTTTCTAAGTGCATGTTGAATTCAAGACTTTGCTGTTAACAAGACACCTTGGAATATAAACTCAAGGAGATCGTGGGTGGCCATGTGCATGCTCTCGTGCATAAAGACGGTCATGAAGGATGGATGCATTTGTGGGCTCATGCAGGCACACCTCATTATTTCATTAAGTATCCATGCAGGATGCCTTTTATCAACAAATTGTCATGGTAGTACAGTACGTGCAAATACATAGTCCATATTATTGGCCTGTCTTACAGCACACTGATCTGAAGTATCCTGCATATATTTGTGTTCATGAATGTAAATGTTATCTGTAATCTGGGTTTCCAGGAGAAATAGAGGATGAATCCAGGTTTTTTAGCCTAGCTTTTGATGCAAGCTAAAATTGGATGCTTACCTATACAGAAGTCTATTACACTCTGGATTCTATTTTATGGCGAAATCTTCCATATGTTTTACAAATTAGTATCTGTAAGGGCTTATATTTAGGTATAAATTACTGCATTAGGGTCCAATTGTAAATAAATGTACATTTTTAGCCATTTTCTACTTGGGGTTATGAAAAAAGCATCAGCTTGAAATTAAGTGTATTTGAGTAGGTAAATAAGATGATTTGCCAATGGAATAAGTATTTTTACTCTTAAAATGAGACAATTGTATAATGTGCACTTGAAAGAAGACAATACAATTGTTTTTTTATTTTATTTTAAATGAAAATTGTCTTGTTCCATTGGTAACATGTCACACTTACCCCCTGAATTTAAGACCAAATACTTCTTTGAAGAAAATACTTATCAAGATTTTTTCCAGTGTACCGATAAGAAATAGCAAAAAATAGGTAAATAGTAGAGCTGCCTAAATCGTGTATACCCATTAGGTCTTTAGAGTTCCCAGAATTTTATATCAGTAAAATGCAAATGTAGGAGCATTTCTTACTTTCCTTATTTCCTTAATAAAAACCTTCAAATATTTTTTCATTCTCAAAATTACACATTGATGAAACTAATGCTGGTAAAGCAGTTTAAAAAATGAAATTGTTTCAAGCAAGCACAAAAGCAGTTCCATTGTGAAGTACTATACTCTAATGCTATATTGGCAGTGCATGGTTTGATGTTCAGTTCCTATATTTGACTGAAATCCATTTGTTCTGCATGGTCTGCAGACTATACTTTAATGCAGCAAGAATTTGCATAATCGACTCCAAACTTTACACAGCTCTAGCGTACACAGAAAGACATTTAGACATCACATGGCAGCGTTCAACATAGTAAGAAAAAATCCTGAGACCGCAAACACTTTAAAAACTATCAGATACCTATCTGATTGAATACCTCATATGGAGGTGAAAAGATCAGAATTAGCCAGTGCAGATTATTCTTTTTTTTCTTTCTTCTCTTCTCCAGCTTTTATTATCATTACATTGTCACAAGTATAGAGCAAGGAAATACACTGTCTGCATTTAAACCATCCCCTTGGGAAGCAGTGGGATGCCGTTGTGCAGCACCCAGGTAGCAGTGTGGGGTTAAGATTCTTTGCTCAGGGACCCAAAGTGGCAGTCCGTGGGAGTGGGGCTTGAATTCAGAACCTCAGGATTCCAAGCGCGATGCGCTAAACTACTAGGCCGCCCTCCCTTAAGGACTATGGCTGAAACAGTCGTGATTAATCGATTATTGAAATAGTAATCAAGTAATTAAGTAATCGATTAATTAACTGGAGTGTAGAGGCTCTAAAACATGGCTTTATCTGACACAGCAACACACTTATAGCAGTAATTATATCAAAATTATAAAAGTTTGTTCTCAAACTTTTCAAACTGTCACCTTCTCCTCATTGTAGAATTATTTTTTTTTTTTTTTACCAGTTGACTGATGTTCAGCTGACTTATCCTTTAGCTCAGTGTGATTGGTTGAAATGTGCTGCTTTTGAAAAGTACACTTAGAATATTTGTGAATACGTCTTTGCATACTTCACCAGCAACAAAAGATGTGCATCTACAGCTTTATTTATTTTAGTTTAGGTTTTTTAAACTTGCCCATTCTAAAAGATGATCTAAATCATTTTGTCATATTTTTAGCTTTATGTTCATGGTCATTGCCTTCCATCCATCTTTAACTTTGACCAACATCCCTCTCTCCTAAGGAAAAGCATCCCCACAGCATGATACTGCCACCTCCATTTCTTACAGTATGGATTATGTGATCAGGAAAAAAATCTAACCTTGATTTTTTTATAGTTATTTTTAAATGACAAATCTAACATTTTTGCTTAGTTTGAGACACAATCAAAAAAGCCTATTTCTTTCTTGCTCTGATTTTGTCAATGTGTTGTGAAAGGTTTGTGATTATAATGAGCCTTTTTTTTATACATAAAAACTTTAAATTTTTCACTCATTGGATTTTTTTGCAGGTTATATCACAAATGGGGCTTTAATTTCACTTATCTTGTGCTGTATCTTATCAAGCAGCCTTGATATGGGACTGAGGGAACAAAAATAACACTAATGACTATAAAGGATTTATGGATACTAAATTGTGCAAAAATATGTATTTGCTTCTGTTTAGCTTTTAACATATTAATACTTTCATACTTTCTTACCCAGTCCTGCTTTAGGTTGTGAATTTACTGTATACTGCATTGTGTTTTACATGTGTTCAGGTTGGTACCTCTTGCGGGTGGCCCTTGCAGTCTTTGCAGACAGGTGGAGAGGAGTAATGGTGGAAGACGGAGCCGGAGAGGTTGTCGATCATCAGCATCTCCCCATCTATTGTATCCTTGATTAGGAGAGATACGCTGTCCAACCACTGGCTCTCCTGGAACACATACACGCACACACACAAACACACGCGCACACAAGGACAGAAACACACACGGGACGCAGGCCGGCAGACCAGGATGCACGCAGGCGCAAACATGTGCACATGCGGACATGCGAGGACAAAGAACACGCAGGGAAATGCATACACCATTGGAAGGATTATTAAAGTGCCCATGTGTACACGCAGGTAGGCTTTCGCCGTTCCTATCTAAGTTAACATTTTGCAGCTGGTCATTCATGTGGAGTGCCTTCCAAAAACATCCAGAAGCTCAAATTCCTTCATTTCTCTTATTCAAGGAAGCATTTCAATGTATTTTATCAGAAATTATGTTAAACAGAGCTAAATAGTGCATAACTGTAATTTCAAGGCAAAAGTTACACATCTTTAATTATTAGCCTGGGCTGTAAAAACACATTAATATATTTCGTTCCAAACATTCCACTGCACTGTATGATTTAGGTCAGCGTCCAGTTCGACAGTAAATATATGCTTGGTATTTTCAGAGAATACTGGCATTCTGGCTGAATAGTAAGCTCATTCCAGGCTCCCAACAAATTTGAGGAGCCTCGATGTCCATGATACTGCCCCAACAATATATTGTAAATGTGATGTGCTATGTTAGTTTTCAATTTCCGTGAGGCCTTTACAGGACAACTTTATTTACCAGTTTTTCTTAAAGGAAAAACTTAATTACTGTTTAAGCATCTTTGAAGGTGTTTTTCTTATTAAAATGTTTCAGAATACAGTGGGCTGAATACAATGCTTCATTGGAAAAAAATGTGTGAACTGTGTACCCTTTACCTTTTGCAACACAAATATTAATCATTTTGGTCTGCCTGAGGAATTCTAATAAAATCCATTGAAATTTGTGGTTTAAATGTGAAAAAACCTCCAAAGGGTTGAATATTTTTGCAAGGCACTGTTCTCGTTCACCCAAACATAGTAAATGTATCATCTAAGCTTTCATGAAACATTACAACAGAGAAATTATGAGTCAAATTATGATGATTTACCAAAATGTGTTGCTTGAGATTATATAATAATCATTCTCTCGTTCTTAAAAATCTTCAGAGTAATAAACAAAGAAGAATACGACCCTAAATAATAAAGCTCCAAATGCTCATCAGTGGAGTAACATCTAATTTTACTATGGAAGCTTTGGGTGCTTAGTGTAGCGCAATTACGTTTGATATATCACCTCAATTAGGCTGTCCGATACCTTGTTAAAAGTATTTCAGATATAAGAGTTTGCTTTCTGCTCTGGGTATATTATAAGCTTTAAAGTAATTTGGCCTGTATGACTTGGATTTAAAACACATAAAACACTCCTCAATGATCCCTGCTTTCTTGAATCTCACCTGTTCGCTTTATTCCTGAAAAAAGCAGCTACTGTAGAGGGAAAGGAACATGCTTTTAAAGAGTGATCAAAACATGTTCAGCCTTTTTCGCCATGGTATTTCCCAATGAGTTGAATGCATTGTGCCCATAGTTAAAGTATTGTATTAAATCAGAAGATATTTCCCAAAAGGGTACTATGAAAATAAAGTTACTCTTTTTCAACTCGCCGATAAGCCTGATTTTATAAGAAACCATCTGAAAAGGTGCTTATTGGACTATACTTAGTTCTGTTATGCAAACTCACATCATCTCATATGACTCACTTGGCTTTATTACATCTACACATGACATGTTTTAAAAAAGATGAGGGGGTTAAGAGTTAAAGAGCGAACCTATTGTACAGTGAGCTGCATGCTACAGAAATGCTGTTGATTTATGAAGCAACTATGCAAAGGCATTAAGCGAGTCTGCAAAAGCCAGCTTATTTCAGAAAAGTATTAGGAAAAGCACACTCTGCATTTCGTAGGCAGGCTTAGTACAGTTTGTTGAACATGTAGGTGGAAAGCTTAATATATAAATAATGTTTGATTGACTGCTGTTGTCTGTATGCTGGACCCCATTAATAACTGTATTAGTGGACAACAATAGGTTCGTCTGGAGGGACTGGAAGTTGGGAGTAAGAGAGGAGAGAGCTGAAATTAATTACTGTCTCTGTTTGACTGTCACAGGCTCAGCCATTATCTCTCCTTTCTTGTATCTGGGCTGTAGCTGTGTGTGGGCCTGAACATTATGCAGTCTATCCTTTGGTGCTTGAATTGTACTTAAGCAATGTTTCTGCATGAAGCTTGAAACAATAGAATGTCTTACAAGAAAATATCAGCTTAAGATGAAATGTGCGCCTTCCATTCATAAAGCTTCTTTGCACCGGCATGCAAAACTTTGGACACCAATCAGTTAAACAAAGGGAGCTTCAGTCAGTCTAAATAAAAATGAAGAAAACTTCAAATATTGAATGTTAATACTCTGAAGGATTCAAGTTTCAAGAGCCTAATTAGCTTTATATTTTTATAGTTCTTAACTATGCATAAATCTACAGTCTTACCAGTGCCACAGTATTAAGCAATAATAATTGGACAGTTAATAATGTATTTTAGCAATTTTTAAGAAACACGACATTAAAGGTTTGTTGTAAATAAACCTATAATGTTTTGTAAAATACACGCACAATTAAAAAGAAACTAACTCAAACCCTAAAAAAGTAAATAAGTTACTCCTTTTGGGTAATAGAACACTTTGAGGAAAACTGTGCAGATGCAGTAGCAGCAATGCACAACTAAAGTTTGTAGCAAAATCTGCAAAAATCAGCCTTTCTTTGAAAGGAAGGCTGAAAACCTTTGCCACATCATCACGTGAATTAGAATATGTATAAAGAAATTCACAAAGCTGTTTGTCATGATCTGCCTTTCTGGACCTTCTGCTTCTGTTCATGCTTTTACATTGTGTTATCAGTTATGCTTTATTTTATTTTATTCTGTGTCGCTGTCAAGATTTGTATCATTTTGTTGTTTCTTTTAGTTATCTTTTCAGCATCTTGTAGTACATATTTATTCCTCGGTCTAGTTTTATAGTAATTCTCCCGGTTATCTTGAGGTTATGGTTTTCCATGGCTTCAAAGTCATCTTAAGTTATCTCCCGTCTCTTCTGTTTATCCTGTAGTTTTCCCCTTGGTCATTATTTATTCTGTAGCCATTAGTAGTATTCCCCTTTGGCTTCATTTAAGTTATTTTCTAGTTACAGTTAAGCCCTGTTGTGTTCCCTGGTTACTCTTGGGTGCCCCCTAGTGCCCCTTTCCTTTGCCCTTAGCTCCTTTCTAGCTGGTTCTGTCAACACCTGCTCCCAATTAGCTGATAACTCCATTCATTGTTCTGTCTCCCATATGTACTCCTCTGCAGTTACTCATTGCTGGATTCTCTTCTCTATCACCTGTATGTATTCCCTTGAGTGTCTCTCTGTTTTGGTTTGGCTGAGTCCCCTGCCTGTTGTTGATTGAATTTATGCTTCTGTTGGCACCACTCTAATTAAATTTGCAATAAGCCAACTCAGTTTCCTTCTCCGCATTTGGGTCCACCCAAAACCTCCACACAACCTGACAATGTTACTGTTAAATGTGAAAAGAAAATGAATCCTGTAAAAGAGAGAATTTATTTTTAATGTAACTGTTGAAAAAATGACTTGAAAAAGTCAACCTAGTTATTGGCTTTGAGAGCTTACTCAATTTACTAATGAACCAGAGTCTGCTGAGGTGTTATTTGCTGATAATTTCTCAATCTATTCAGTTTGTCACTAAGGCAAGAAAACTGTGACGTTATGACAATACACACATTTCTTGCAACAGTTTTTCGATGTGCTTGTTTGGGCCTATATGTAATCAGCAATTTGCCCCAGTGAGTTCAAAAGTTAAGCTGCTATTGTGAACACCTAAAAATCCCAGAGCAACTTGTTAGGTTTTGAAAATTCCCACCTCAATGTATACAAAAACATAAATAAACTTTTGTCCTAAATGTCTGTTATGATGGGTTCACACTGGAGGTGGTGTCAACGCCGAGTGTAGTGGTTTCACAAAGAATTCCTATACAAACTGGGCGGTGAACTCCACAAGATGAGAGCAGTGACGGCTCCACTCTCACCTCGTGCTAATCGATAGAGCTGAGGTGATGTCAAACAGCGGCACTGCATGGAGAGAGAGGGGATCGCTGAAGTTGAAACAAGCCAATCTTTTCTATGAAATTGCGACACGGCAGCATATCAGGGATTGGTTGTAGGTGAAGCTTAAAAAAGCTAGAAATAAGGAATGCTGTCAAGCGAATTCGACATGGCTTTTAAAGGAGCCAATTTCATTAAATGCTAGAGGGACTTTTAATTGTCCTCACTTACCTCCAGCACAAACCCCGGTTTGTCATTGCCCACTGCCCAGCATCTGTGCTTTCCGCGTGGGTAGATTTATAAGGAGGTCCCGCCGAAACCGACATAATCAGAGCTGCGTCTGGATGAACCTAATTGGATTCTTTTTTTTTTTTTTTTTTTTAGAGCTTTCTCACTAAGGCGATTAAACATTTCAACGAACATTTTAGTAGTTCTCTGTGATTTTAAAGGTCAGAACACACCGTTTGCCTACGACTTTTTAATCTCCATTCCGATTATTTTCTATGTCTGAGGCTACAATTAGGCAGGGTTCGGCATATCTGTGCAGATTCTTTTTAACCTCTGTCTCTGTGCTATACACAAATTAAAACAATTTCCCACATTTGACTTGGACAGATTATGAGAAGTCATAAAAAATGCATTCTATAAAATAAAGCGAGTCTGTGCAGGATTTTAAATTAAAACTTAATAAGATCTATGTCTAAAGAACAGAAAAACAGCAATAAACACCATGGGGCGGTTTCTATGCTGATGAGGCAGTGATAGGTGATTTTCAGAGAGAGATCTGCAAAGTTTATCAGAGTTTTTTCTTTTTCTCATAGAGGTGAGAGAGATACGCTATGCTTAGCTGCTCTGCCTGCCTCTCATTATTTTGTTTTTGTGAGGCTGAAAGATGATCACTATTTTACTGTATACATTTTTTTTCTTCTGAAGTCATTTATTTTTCGAGGTGATATACTGCGCTTTCTGTCCCTCATTGTTTTTGCGAGGCTCAAAGAGGATCACGACTTTATCCGTTTCCTGTCCTCCATAACTCCTATCATGGGTAAAGTATTATATTTTTTAATGTTATATTGATCGCTTTTGCACGAGTCTATCCTGCTTGCTGTGTATGCTCTGTGCGACTCTCAAACTGACTCTTTCCCTGTGTGATTAACATGTTTTATTTTGTATTTTCCCGCAAAGCGGATGCTTTTTACTTTTTAACCACGTCTCTCTTCCTGTCACACCCATGAAGTTACCACTGAATTACTGCGTAGTCTGACTAAAATAGACCTGGGGTCTATCTAAGTCGGACCTACGCAAGCCCCTTTGTTTAAAATCAGGTTGGGTGTGTTTATCCCCATTGACTCTTAATGTACGCTAATTGCCACAACCTCATCTCACACGATTTTCTATCGAATCGGACGCAAAATCGAAGTTGGTGTCTTCTAGCCATTAGTTTCATCTGTGCTTTTATTGTGAAATGCCGACAGCGAGACCTTGATAGGAAATGACAAAGGGTTGCCAGGGCAACGGCAGGTCCAAAGCGATTGGTCTAGGAGGCTTGTAATTTACTAAATATCAAACAATTATTCCAGCCACTAAATAAGTTAAACATGCCCACTGTTATATTCAGTACCACCACAGGAATAACATGTGATGTTATGCAATAACTATATATCAGGAAGGAGTGCAGCACCAACATCTTCTAGGCTGGTGATATCATCGGCTGTAATTAAAAATAATTTTATTTAAAAACAAAATCAGCACAAATGACATTTGTACCTGCACAAATCACCGGGTAGCACTGAAAAGAAAGGCTCGATAATTTGAATTCAGTTCGGTGCCTAATATGGGAATAGTTGTCTTCCTAAAAAATAATCTTGTGATCTGTTTTTCATTTACTTTTAAGTTTTACAAATTACCAGTTAAAATACACAAACCTGCACTAAAGAAGCAATAACCATTCAGTCTATTAACTGAGTTTTTTTTAACGTCGGTGGGATGTCAGCTTTACGCAGCTGAAGCTCCTCCTATTTACTGATGCGTTCCATGGTGTAAACACCGTGCATCTGAAATGCAGACTACCTGTATGGTGTAAACATTGCGTCCACAACCTCCAGTCTGAACCACCATTATTCTCTAAAAAAAAGGAAAAAAAAAAAAAAAAAAAAGAAATATATATATATTTTCAAAACAACCCATGTAAAAAAAAATGTGATTATTGCAAGATTTGCTGATAAACGATTGAAGTTTTGGTTCACACAGTGGTAATTCGGTGGAAAATCAATGTACTTTAAACACTTTAGAAACCTGATGTATTTGATACCTTATTTCCACACTGAATAATAACTTTTAATTAATATTAACTTTTTTCCCCTATATCTTTTTTTTTTTTGTTTGTTTGTTTTATTTCAGACATTTTCCTTTTTTTTTTTTTTTTTTATATATTTAGTCCTGAATTTCAGGCCTGCAGCATAAAAAGCATAATTTGATATGGAATCAACATGGAGAGCCTTTCAGAGATAAAAGTTTTACAGAAAAATCAGTGGAGTGATTGACAAATATTACAGGCAAAGAAAAAAACTGAAATGTGAGACAGTCCTCAAAATGACAAATGATTCACTCAAGGAACTTGGTAGATTTTCATTGCATAAACAAACAGCAAGAAGTCACAGTCACAGATCTCACAAACACACTGCATAGAGGACATTCATTCACAAAGTGTGAATGAACAACATTGTCTAGTATTACTTTGAGGACAGCTTTCCAATGATCTTTAGAGCAGAATTATAGTTAACTTAAATTTATGCTTTTCTGTATTAAACAGACACCCTAGTTAACATAAATTAGATATTTAATCAGATGTTATTGTCATGTTAGCAACAGTTGAAATGGTTGAAGTGGTAAGAGGTATAAAGAGGTATAAAGATAATCTGAACCACGGATTAAAAGAACTTGGAGCTGTTAAGTGAAAAAAAGCAATGAAGTAGGATTTTGAAAGGAACAGGAATGTTATTTTTTTGTTTTGTTCACTTCCTAAGGAAAATGAATCCCATTCATGTATATTGAAATATATAATTTAGGAAAAAACTAATCTCTGAGGAATACAGTAATTCTAACATTATCAGAGCATAGCCACAGTAAAATAAAGCCATCAACTTTAAAGCTTTTTTATGTGACTGTCTTATGACTTCCCCAATGTGTTTTTTGAGACCTGGAGCAAACAAAAATATTTCTACTCATTATGACATTACATGTAAACAAAAACTTGAAGATTTTGCTTTGAGGGGGTCTTCTTTAGAAATATGTTGCAGGCCAGAAATGACGTTAATCACTAAACAAAATTTGTAAATACAGCAAGGTCTCCAATGAAATACTTTGAAATCTCTAAAATGTACCTTTTTTTTAGAATTCACAACACTGTTATTTAAAATGCATATTGAATCTGCGAAGGATGTTGAAACCTTTCAGTGGCATCAGTGACCTCTCTGTCTGTCTGTCTGCTTCTTATTTTAGTTAAGTTAGCCAAATTATTTGGTTGGACTAATACACTCCATAAAACAAGTATTTGAGTAAAAGTGTTTTTTTCAGTCAATCATTTTAATACATTTTCAGGCTAACATGGAAAAAAACCCTATGGTACAAACCTCAGGAAATGTGCTATGTACAAATATGCTGGTCTGCTTGATTTCTTACTGCATCACTCATGAGACAGAGAAAACAGAGCACGGAGGATGGATATAGAAAAAGCGTGGGTGGATCCTGCCACTGCATTAACTTCCTTTGTCAGCCAACACTGAACTAAAAATGGCTCCACGCAGCCAAGATTAGCTCTACAAAGGTGAAACTCCTCACGGCTGAGGGTGAGTCATCTTTATGTGAAGATCTCAGGCTATCATTGGAAATTTATAATAGAAGTGTGAGCCTCTGCGGACAGTCTTAGGAAGCGTAATTATGATTAACCCACACACTTGAACCTTCAAAAACTCAAAATGAAAAAAAAAAAAAAAGTAATTGAAAAAAAATACAACAATCCTTCTGCCTGTAACAAGGTTTGCTTTTGCTACAAGGGCGAGATGTAGTTAGATGTGACTATATAAACTAACCTAGTTTTTATTCTATTATGTTGCTTTTTTTTTTACATACTGTTTATATTTTGACAAATGTGTTAATGCAGCTGCTCCCATAGAACTACGCCAGTGTTACTATAGGTTCTATCTCTTGTAATTGTTGGGTGCCTTTCTTCTTCCCACAAAAATGTCACAAATAATTTGGTAAACCGATCTACAAATATAGTATATGCCCCAAAAGTATGACAGAAAACTGACAAATCAAATTGTAACTATTTATTTTTCAATTATTATTTAGTAATTCATTACTATCATGATATCCGTCCGTCTATCTACCTATCTTTTGTTTTGCTCGACTTATTTTAATTGTTCGATCAGTCTAGAATGACTTAGACTATACACGGAGCAATGCCCATGCAGTATATTGGGATATTTCTTTATTCTGTTACTAAACACATTTATACAGTGGGGAAAACCATCTTATTTTAAGAAATCAATTTATAAGCAAAACTGATGATAATTAGTAGTGTTGCGCCAATGTCATTTTTTTGTCCCGATACTGATATCTGATACCTGGCTTTGCAGTATCGGCCAATATCGATACCATACTAGTATCATCTGTTTGAAAGTGATGTGTGTATATATAAAGAACTGCATACTACTTGGATGTAAAATAATTGCCATCATGGCTTTTTCCAAGCTGCTGCCTACCTTTGTAAAGCAGAAAAAAAAGACAAAGTGAATCCAGTAGAACTTTTTATTGCCTCACTGGAATCGGTGACAATAGTTGAACAAACTTTTGGCTATCAAAATGGTATCGGTGCCCTATTTTTTTGGTACTCGCTAATACTGATATCACCATTTTAGTGCCGTATCGGGGCCCCGCCTGATACTGGTATCGGTGCAACACTAATAATTAGCATCCTAAAGAAGTATTCAATTATGTAACTGAACCATTTTCCCTTATTTAAATAATGTTTTTATACTAATTAAAATTTCCCTCTACACCAGTATCCCTTAAACAAATTCTAGGTTTTAAATCAGATTAACCAATAGAGCAAATCTAAGCAGCTTCTTGAACATGTTATGTTATAGTGATTTGAATGTTTTTCTGCTTCTATTATTCAAGTTTTACTCTTTAAGTTTGGAAGCATTACTGCAGCCCCCCTTGCCCACTAACTGCAAGCATACAAAGTAAGCCATTTATATTTTCAACCAGCCACAAAGCACTCATACACACACGTGGAAATACTTACTTGTGACGGCGAATATGACTGGGGGGATTCGCAGGAGTTGTAAGGTCTCTGATACGTCAAAGACTGCCGCAACTTCCTCACTCCTTCTCCTGACTCTCCTCTGGCACCTACAGCCCTCTCCCTTCTCCCTGGCACAGCTCCAAGCCCTGAACCAGCAGCCAAGAATCCTTTGTCAACCCCCCCACCCCCACAAGTGGGGGCGCCCATGCAACAGAGGGTGCCCTGGGCCAGCTCCAGCTCAATTTCTGCATCCATCTCCGCCTCCTCTTGGGCCTCCTTGTTGGAGTCGTCCAGGTGCTTCATCAGCACGGCCACCACCACATTGATGAGCACAAACTGGGCGGTGAGCACAAAGGAGACAAAATACATGGGCGAGATAAACTGAAGGCTCGGATTGCAGGCATAGTCCACATCCGTGTTATGGTCTGGTGGGCACTCCCGCAATGTGTCCTGGTGAGATGAAGAAAAAAAGTCAGGGAGTACCATAGTCCCGAAAAGGACATCAGAAGTATTGCAAATCGTGAAATACATTTTGTAGAGATACAGATCAACAAAACAGGCTTAAATCAGAAACAAATAGACTGTTGCTTTTCTTAATTTATTTCAATACCTACCTAGGAGTCTTTGTCAGTTCTGATCTTTTCAGGAGTCTGTCAGTTCTGACAAAGACTCCTGACATGTGTCAAAAAGTAAGAAAAAAAAGTGTGCAAAAGTCCGGTTGCTTGTTTTAGTTGCCATGACCTGAGTGACCGAGAATTTGCACAAGCATCAACATAAATAATTTAAAGATCTCAGTTTTTTTATTCAGTTTTCCCAGGAAATATTTTCTGTCAATAGCCTTGTAAAAAAAGAAAAAGAATAAACTAATAGTCTAATTTATAATCAAATTAATACTCTTTATTTTATTTGAACTTGTTTTATTCCAGCTCAGTGTAAATGTACTTTTGCTCTGCTTGCTCTGTCAAGTGTGTCTCTCAAAGGAAAAATAAATGAATAAATGAGAGCTTACAGATTATATTAGGCTTTATGCACAGCTTTATCCAGCACCTCTTATTAAAAGCCACTGTGGTATGACTTTGCAAAAACTGGATGAATGCCTCACAAAAGCATTTACACACCTTGAATGTGCTCCCATTTTATGACGTGACAACCACAAAAGTCAAAGTAATTTCCATAGTTTCTTGTGTAGTTATAGACCAACACAAAGTACTTCATAGTTGTAAAGTGGAAGAAAGTGGAGGCATGGTCTAAATAATTTTTCTTCCAATAAATCTGGTCAATGTGTAAGTGGTTTACCTGGTAAAACTTTATTTTACAGTACAGCAATAACCATTTAATAACATTGGGATAACATAGCAATTTACACTTTATTACTAGGTAACAAGAAAAACTTTACAGGGATTTTTGGTAAGCTCAAGGCTGGTCAGATCTATGGGCTAACATCACTAAACATTAGTTATTAAGCCTTTCTGAGGATTCTCTATTGGGTTTAGATAATTAACTCGGCAGTCATAAAACATACAGTACATTTGCTCTGATGTAAACCATCCTATCCAATCTTAGGCTTTATGTTCAGGGTTGCTGTCCTGTCTGAAGCTAAAACATCTAATGTCATGTATGTTGCAGCCTCTAATAAGTTTTGTTTTCCAGACTTGTCCTGAATGTTGACCATCTGACCATCCATGTCATCCTTGTTAAACAAAATCCTCATCAAATTTATCCCAGCAGCTTGATGCTACAACAAGTGTGTTTTAGTATGAGGATTATACTGTAAGTATTTTTTTTCTTTACATGTAGTCTAAAGTGTTGCCTTCTGAGGAAAGCACCTTCTTGTACATTTTCCTTTGCAGTTTAAGGCAAACTGTTAAGACTTAATCAATGTATAATTTTTTTCTTCCAGTACTTCCACAATAAAACAAACTCATATGGTCTAGGCCAATATCATGGTTATTGTTAAACTCTCCTGTTGTTTTCAGGTCATAATGCCCAGAAACAGAGTTTAAAGTCAGTTATAAAGGTTATAAAAGGTGCCTCAAATGACAGTAGACCTTAAAGTCTATATATTTTTATATTTTGATTCAGAAAAGGGATCAAAAGAAGATGGAGAGTAATACAACCCAGAGGAAGCTGATCATTCATCCATAGAAAAAGAATTGTCTCAAGCTGAAAGAAAGACTTTCCTGTCACAAAATGGCGAGTGGTATATTCTGAATAAATCCAGTCTTCCTACCACGTAAAGAGGGATTCTGGCAGTCACTCAATTTGAGGTAAACAAGTCTTCTTTCAGGCACAATAGATTTGATGTTTGAAATTCTATGAAGTAGCTTTATACCGTTGGTTTAGTGTAGTTGAGAAGACAAAGGATGTATACAAAATAAAAGAACCATAGAAGGGGTAAAACTGAATACTTGCAGTGAGGTGAAATTGTTTGTAGAGATCAAAGTAGGTCCATTTTACAGGATTTTGGCCATATAATGGAAATTAATTACTACTTGTATATGATAATATACTATTTAAACAAAAACACAGTGAGAGCAGCAGGGATCAAGATCAACCTGATGCAGAGATATTTATTTTCATTGAAGGGGGGGGGGGGGGGGGGGGGGGGGTCTAAAATCTAACCCACAGACTCTACCCTCCACATTCAATGAACAACCATTGTCATTTTGGTTTACATCCTCCTTACCTAAAATGTGCATTCACTACAATCGTTGCTTCTTATTTAGGATGTTGGGCCACCCCCTTAGAGATAATGTTTGAGCGTAGGGAGAGGCAAGCCTTGCAGCATTTCCAGCGTTGCTCAAAATGCTAGAAAAGTCAATTGGAAAATCTGAACTTCTGCAGCTGCATAGCTTCAACCAATTAGACAATGTACTTTATTTTAAGTATGAGGAAAAGTTAGATTATTACCACGCAAAATATTTTCTGAGTGTACTGTGAGAAACAGTTTAACACGTACATTAGCTAAAACCATCAAAACCTGCCAGTGAAAAATACTACATTTTATATTCCTTATATACCACAAATCTTAAAAGTGCTTTATATTCACTTTATATTCTACTTTCTTACTTAAATTAATCTTACAGCATGCTCCATTGTAAAAGAAATAGGAAAAAAACAGAGCAGCTCAGCGTATCTGACTTTAAAGTGCACACCCGTCCAAGTTGAGGCTTTGAACGGCTTTTTAATGCTCAAAACGTGTTTCGCTGTGAACAAATGAAGTCTCAGATTTTCACATATATACACAACCTACAGTTTTTTTTTTTTTTTTTTTTTTAATGTATTATGCTCCAAAAAGGATGTTTACACCTCTGGCTTCATGAAGCCCCCCCGAGTGATACCTTGGGACCTTTTCTGGGTTGTTTCTGTGGTAATGTTGTTTTTAATGCTTGAATAGATTTAGTAATATTAAAACTTCATTCACGTCATTCACACCGATATAATGAACACACATTTTTACCAAGAGGTTTATTAGGAATGAAGGGTGCTATAATATTAAAGCATCAATTGTTGTGTGCTGCTTGATTTTGAAGATTGCGACCCTGTTTTCCACTCTAGTTAACATGAGTGCTGTGGACTTTCATCACAGCAAAGCTAAAGTGACAAGAGTCTTCTGCAGGAAGAATGCATATATCAACCAGGCTGTGACCACACATAACCATTTCAGCCCTCTGAGCGGAAGCTGGTCTTTTCTGCCTAATTTGGCTTGACATTTACACACTGTGTTCCTTCACAAAACATCTTAAATTTTATAGTACGTCCCCTTTCCATCTTATATCTTTGCATATTTCAGACATTTGCTAAACAGAACCAGACGTTTTCCAAAACACATTTACATCCTCTCTCTCCTTTTATGTGTCTCTCACTGCTCAACCATCATGTTTTTCATGTCTGTTTTCATTGTGTCTCCACTTAGAAGAAAGCATAATAAGTGGAACTTTTAACCACTTAGCTGTCCAGTTCAATGGTCTCTCCACGTAGTTTTCCTTAATATTTTATTGGCTCTCATGACTAACTCATCACTAATTCCAACTTGGTTTAGTCTGCTTCTTATTAATTCAGAGCAGGTATTCTGCACTTATTGTGTTGATACTATTTTTATGTCTTAAACTGCAATTTTCTCTGGATAGCAGCATTTGAAGTCCACCAGTTTTCTTTCTGCTCGCTACAATCTGCCCTGCATAAACAGTTTGAGAAAACCTGCTCCGATATGATTTGCATTCCTTTGACAGTGTAGGAATGTTGAAGAGATGCTGACTGATGTGGAGTCATTATAAAAAAGTGGTTTGCATAGAGAGTCATGTCTCATCTTTTCATAGAGGAGTCATCCATGTGCTAGGCCATCCCATAATTCATCACCAACAGATTTAAAAAAAAGAGTCCGTAACATTGTGGATATGAGAAGTACAAGGCTTCTTTTTTCTTTCTTTTTCTTTCTTTCTTTCTTTCTTTCTTTTTTTTTTTTTATTTTTTTTCAAAGAAATGTCATTTTTTTTTTTTTTTTTTATATATTTAGTCCTGAATT